AGCAGCCCAATTCCAAAAGAAATTTCTGTTATATGCTGCACAGTAAGTTTGAAACCTGGAATGAAAATATATAGAAGACTTTTTGTAACACTTGAAAAAATAATAGAACTCTAAGAAGGAGATGCTACCATGTTCTCCAGACTCCCTGGCAGGATCAGCTGGCTACCTCACTTCTCTCTGTGAATTAATGATTGCAAAGGACTATGTACACATCCCTGGGCACAGCTATGGACACCTGACCTTACATTTCTGGTCGATCTTGTTGTCCTGGGCACCTTGGAAGACTGAGACATTCTCACTGCCTATAGTTCCCAGAGGACTGTGCAGACAGCTACAGTTGGCTTGCAGGGACCTAAATACTTTTTCTCTCATCCAGATTTTTGCTTTCAAGGCTCTCTATATCCTCTCACAGCAGTGAGAGGACTGAGGCCGTGGGAGTAGCAGCAGGAAAAGCAAATAGTCACTAAAAATGATGCCACAGGGGGTGATTTATTGATGTAGATTGAGGACTGTTGTACTATACTATTGTAGCTAAGCCACAAAACAATATACATACAATGTTGCATCCTTAGCCCAACATAGTGCTTGATATGTAGTAAGCACGCATGCAATATTTGGTGATTGTTACTGGAGGGATCTGCTGCATCACCACTATTATTATTAAATACAATATATTGATCTACTCAGAATCTCCCTGCCATATTTCTCATGTTTATCTCTTTCAGCATGATGCAAAATTATGAAGTTCCAAAACAAATAATTTACTCCATTTTCCAAGCTTCCCTAGAATCTATTTCCCACCTTGCTAACTAATTTCAAAGATTACTCTAACCACAGCTCATCAAAAGCACAGAGCAAAAAAAGAAATAGGTTTAAAAAAGAAGTCTTCAATGCTAAACAAAATGAATGCATTTCCTTTTACAGTGCAGTGGCATCATCATAGCTCACTGCAACCTCAAACTCACCAGCTCAAGCAACCCTCCCACCTCAGCCTCCCAAATAGCTGGGACTACAGGCATGCACCACCACACCCGGCTCATTTTTCTAATTTTTGGAGAAATGTGGTCTCGCTATTTTGCTCAGGTTGGTCATGAACTCCTGGCCTCAAGAGATCCTCCTGCCTTGGCCTCTCAAAGTGCTAGGATTATAGGCATGAGCCACTGTGCCCAGTAACATTTCTTAATGTCAGTATAATAAAATTTGCTATGTATTCTAAGCAAAATAAGTATGGTACATATATACACACACAAATACATACATACATTTTAAAAACATAACAGAGAAAAATTATTTTAACACAATTTAAAAAACTAAAGCATTGAGAGATTAAATTATGAAACATCAGAAGCCAAACTTTGGTACTTAAGTCTCTTCCAAACCTCTCTTTTATTTCATATAATTAATCTAGCACATCAAAACAATTACTCTCTTCTTTGCTTACGCTGTCCAAGAGCCCTTTGTGCAGTGGTCAAAAACAAGGCCCCTTACTGGCTATGTGAGCTTGGGTTAGTTATTAACTGCTCAGAACTTCAATTTCCTCACCTGTAATACCTACTTCTCAAAATTATTGTGAAGTCAAATGACATAGTGAAGGTTAAACATCCAGTACATGGAAAATGCTCAGTAAGTATTTATAATATTCACGCCACATTCAAAGTTGCAAAGCAGTGCTATTCTAAGTGTGGTATAAGGACCAGCGACACAGCATCACTAGAAATGCAAATTCTCAGGCCCCATCTCAGATCTATTCTGGGAGGTGGAAACGAGAAATCCATTTTAACAACCTCTTCCAGTGATTCTCATGCCTAACACAACTGGAGTAGCAATGTTGTAAGGAATCCAAAATGTAATATAGTTTAATCCCCTTCATTTTACAACAGAACGAACTAAAACCCAAAGATATTCACCTAGTTGCTGAAAGTCATTCACTAGTCTTGTGGCAGAGTTGAGATTCCAACTCTAATTTCCTTACCTAGATCCCTCATCTAGAGCAATACTAGGGAGGCTAAAGATGTGTGAAACTGTTTGCTGTGATTCCAGAGTACTAAAAAAGAAAGAAATCAAGCTGCAAAGCCAAGAGACCTATTGATAAAAATGTTAAACATGTCCCATTTTCTGTTCTTGGGCACTAGGTACATCATCATTAACACATCTGATAAGCAGAAAGGATGATATAGGTCTGTAAATAATCTTCCAAAATTCCTTACTGAAATGTTTATTTTTACTAGACCCCTAATAATGTAGTACAATAATTAGACACAGCACAAGACAACATAGTGACTTAGTTTCATTCTTCATTCTTTTTCATTTTCCATCAATAACTTCAGCAAAAGCCATCTGATGTTTACATTCAACATTCTCTGAACTTTATTGCACAAACACTCCCGGAAAAATTACACAAAATGTTTAGGGTTTTTTCCTCTTAAAATAATTACAATTGCATAATGACAAATATCATGAGCAAATCTCATTGAACAAATGACATCAGTCAACTTTCTACCAATTTCAAATATTTGGGCTTGCATTCATTTACCTGTCTGTGTCTCTAATTTCAAAACTTTCAGTAATCCATCTTCACCACCACATGCTATGAACCCTTGGTCCTTGTTCCAGGATACACATTTCAGCTTCACGTTATTGGGAATGGCAATCTGTAAAAGCAACCACAGCCACTCTAGCAACTTATCAGGAAGGAGTTGGGAAGTAAGTCTACGGGAGATGAAGGCTAAAGAAAACCTTCCAAGAAGAAAAACGGATGGCTTTGCAGAAAAAAATGAGCTGTTAATGAAAACTGGCATGGTTCCCTGAATTGCCCCGAGCTCTACCATTTGGGAAAGAAGCGCACCAAAGAGGGCAGTAATTGTGCAGGATGCCAACGGGAGAATCGCTTGATGGATTTTTAAAAAATAAGGGAGGAGGAGGTATAAATCCTTATCAACAGTCGTTACTCCCTTTCCCTACAATACACTTAGGCTACTCGTTTGTTATTTCTTTTCTCTTGCCGGAGGCCTGTGACGATCCAAAGAATTTAAGTTACCTAGATCAACAACAGGGCGAGGAGGAAAGACAGGGTAGCAAGTGGTGATCTGTCTTGCTGGCCACCCAAAAGGACCTTGCCAGGGGCAGGAGAGGGAGAGTGCTGCGAGAGGGCTGCTGGCTCCGCCAAGGACCATCTGGAGCTCTGGAACCCGCAGGACGTGGTCTGAGGCTGGACCAAGCGGGAAGGTTGGCAGCGGGATGGTGAAGCCTCGATCGGGGCCGGATGAAGCCGCCTTGCTTCACAGGAAGGATTCGGGAATCGCCCGCAGGCTGCGGGGATGGAGGAGGAGCGAGACCGCCCCCAGGAATACTCACTTTCTTGCTCAGGTAGAAGAACATCGTGGGAACCCCAAGGGGATGACTACAGCCGTCAAGGCCCGCAACAGGTAACTACTTCTACATCTCCAATCGCAACTACCAGCGGCTCTGAGAAGCTCCCGTCGCCCTGGCAACCGCCGCCGCCAGGTCGCATCCGGGGCGCCTGGGGACACTTCCGGTGACGCCCCAGCGCGGCGCTCCGGGCGTCGTGCGCTTGCGCGGACGTCGATGGGCATGTGGAAGCGGCGGGGCGCAGTGTGAGGGTTGTGGCTGGGCTTGTCCTGGCCTCAGTACCTTTCTGGGTTTTGCTGGGGGTCGGCGGTCAGCCACTGCCAGCGGTGCGCTCTCCTTCAGCGCCCTGCCTTGTCGCTTCCGCTTCGCCACACCTCGGACGGTCGCGGTGGAGTTGCGCCTCGGATGTCAGTATAAGCTAAGGAGGAGAGGCGCCCATTCAAAATGAGGCCACAATGATTTGGTATTTTGTAAGCCTCATAGTCCCAACATTTTTGAAAGGGAAAAGTCATTTACTGTTTTTTTACTGTCGGCCAAATGAAAATGCAAATGTGAATTTTTGAGATCTTTCAAACCTTCCTTTGTGCCTTTGGGTACCGGAGAACTCTGGAGCAATGTGAGGGTAGGAGATTTTCTTTTAACAGTTTAATTAAACTGTTACCTCGGCTCCAAGGTCCTTTTAAGGGAATTTGTTTGAACTTTGGTTAGTTACAGC